TTATTTTATATAAATAAAAAGTTCCTCGGTTTATTCGATCAATAGTTTTTATTTTTTATAATTTAAGCACTACATATTATGTTTATATTTATATAAATATGGTTTGTAACGCAAGAGAAACATTTTTTTTTTGAAAGATTTCTAGAGGCATTGTAGGTTTGTTATAATAAATATAATAAATTAAGAGGAGAGTATTGACTTTTAAATTTTGTTTGCTTCTGTAGTAGGTTAAGAATTTATCATTACGTTTTTGTATACAAAAAATAAGATAACATATTTAAAAAACTATCTATTGATCACTAAATTGTTTAGAAATACTAAGAATCTATTATTTTTATTAAAAACTGATACAAGAACACAATAATAACTTTTTCAACTCTATAAGACTAACTGAGGAAAGACGGCACAAAAGTGGACAAACAAATTACATCATACATGTTTGGAATACTACAAAATAACTGCAAACTGCAATAATCTAGGCAAATATTAAGATTTAATTTAATCTGAGTTCAAAATCATGTAGGATTTTAAAAATTAAAATATAAAATATATCAATAAATTTATTAATTTATCAATATTCTATTAACATTTGAAAAGGTCAAAATGAGAGAGTAAAAGCTTAAATCCTTAATTTACACTTGCAATAGTCATGTCAGGCATTCCAAGAAAACAATTGACCTTGAATTTTAATTCTTGATTTTCTATTGGCTAATCTTGACTTCTTTTGTAGAAAAATGGTTTTTTAAAGTTTCTTAACTTTTGAATTTGGTATATACGTTCAAGAAAAAAGCAAATTATTTGGAATTTACAAGAATATCAATGAAATATTTATCTGATCGATATTCTTAAAAAAAAGTTTATCCAAACTGTTTAGATGGTAAGTATCTGAATCTGATAAAGGTTTTAATGTTAATTAATCAAATAATAGTTTAAGGCTTGGTACTTTGTGAAATGATTAATTTAATGCATAATCAAATTTTGACATAAAATTTCGGTATTTCATGCAATGATTATAACTAAATCATTATTTAATATGGGCGTGACTTAACACCATATTTTTTTATCAATTAAAATTTTAATTAAAAGTACTAGGTTCTGTAATTATAGTTTATAGATTTAAAATTCTGATTTGTTTTGTTTCATAATCAATTTGTCAAATATTATATTTTTTCACAACTTATTTTCCAGTGATATTATATAAAAGTATTTTCCACTAGGTTAGAGGAATGTAATTCCTATGGAAATTTCAATATTTTCAAGTTGTTATGTTAGGATTTGGTATCATTGATTCTTCTGATGTCAATGATAATAAATATTGTGAATTTTTGATTTACTAAAAAATGTGTTTCATGGAATGTTGTATTATGAAATAAAATTAACATGATTTTCTAATACCAAACAGAACGACATTTTACGTAAAGAAAAGACAATTGTTCTTTTATAGAATATTTCAGTAGCTTTTATTTTCTATGGACTACAATAAAAAGTTGAAATTAAATATTGTTAATCGAACAAGGAATGGTACTTATTGTCTACGAGTATTATAATAGTGTTGTCAGGGAAATACTGCAAATCAAACCTTGTGAGTTGAACATTATATTTTTTCTACGGCTATGATATAATATTAAAAATTGGTCAAAATGAGAAAATGCTCAGAAAAAGGTATGTTAAAGCTTCTTTTTTCAGAAATAATAATTAATGTAGAGCATGTCATATTAAACTCTAGAAATGCATATATTTCTGAAACCGGATATTTTAAAATTTAAACCTAATAAAAGTCATTCGGTCGCCAGGGGTGGGCGATTATCGAAATAAATTATCAATTATTTAAAATAATCGATTATTTTAGATCAATCAATTATTTTCAAACTATCTATTTTTTGTATTTCCTTTAAAATCGATTATTTAATTATCTTTGGTAAATTGAAAATAATCTACAAATTAAAAACTGATTAACCTATAAATCACTGTTTTCAAAAAATAATAAACGAATTATTGAATTGAAAGAAATTTTTTTTTTAAATTAAAATTTTGGCAAAATAAATTAGGCAATAATATCTAGAATATGCTTTTATTTTAAATTTTTAATTATTTCCAGTTTCTCAGAAAAAAAATCAACGGGCTTTAAATTTTGAAATATCATAATGAAAATAAATGCATTCCTTAACAGCACTATTCCTAATATAATCTTTAAATTTAAGCTCTTAATATCTTGTTAATGATTTTTTAAAATTCGCCAAAATTAGTGGCTAAAACGCCTCGTTAAGTGCTGCTTTCTGGTGTAACACGTCTGTGACTATCGTATCGTACACTCTGAGTCATCATTTGTTTCTTGCAACGATTTACACCAGTTTACACTAGTTTAAACCAGAAAATAGCACTTAACGAGGTGTTTTGGCCACTAATTTCGAATTTTAAAAAATTACTAACAAAAGATTAAGAGCTTAAATTTGGGGATTATATTAAGAATACTACTGTTGAGGAATGCATTCATTTTCATTATGATATTTTAAAATTTAAAGCCCCTTGATTTTTTTTCTCGGAAACTGGAAGAGATTAAAATTTTAAAATATATGCATATTGTAGATATTATTGCCTTATATATTTAGACAAAATTTTAATTTTTTAAAAAAATTTCTTTTTGAGATATCCTTTTCCGAAAATTATAAGGGGGTGCTGTAATCACCTTAACAATGTGACTAACTCCCGTGACTCTAGTATTTTTTTTGCTTATACTAGATCATATTGTGCGTTTTCATTGTTTTTAAGACTTAAGATTCAAATGTCACATCAGATTTGACCGCAAATAAGATGAAATGAAATTTTAAGTGGGTCATCCTGCATTTTATCTAAATATTCTTATAAAAATACCTCAAAAAATAAAATTTCGTCAGCAACTATGCTTCTTCACTTCTTATTTATCGATCAAAAAGGGCTAAAAACCACATTCAGTCAATGTTCTTTTAAAACTATTTTTTAAAAACAAAATTTCGTTTTTTCTTCTTATTTACATTAAATGTTTAAAATTTTGCCTTTTGGTAAATGTATGTAAGTACTATAAAATCTGTTTTCTAAAATGTTTGATGCTTAATGCGGATCTGAAGTTTTCAGCTCAAAGGATCATAGCTTCATGTCAAAACGTTAATAAATATGTACCACTGAAAACAAATAAATTAAATAAATTTCTTATTTTTCATAACAATTGCACTTATATTATTTGTATATACAATTTTTCACGATAAATCGTGGAATTTTCACCTTGAAATTGAATAACTAAAATACTTTAAATTGCTAATAATACCAACAAATAATTGAAAATACGGCGATCCATGATGATTCACTCACGTGGAGATGAGTGTAGACTAGAAATGTCGGAACAATTCGGATGGCGTCGTGGAAACAATGATTTTTAATTGGTGGGTTACTTAAGGTTGGAATAGACAACATGCGCTATGTGCAATGTTATATCTCCGGTCTCTTTAATCTAAAATTGTTTTCCAAATTTTCCTCCATGTTTTTTACTGATTGTAAAAAAATAAAACCATTAAAAATCTAGTATGTTGGTTTATTCTTTATTGACTTGGTATAGTTTTTGATACTGTTGGGCACTGCCGACTAAAAAGACACCTAAGTAAACTGAGAGTAGTAGAGGATAGTGAGTGCAGATTCTGTGAGGAGGAGGACGAAACCTCCATTCACATCCTAACTGAATGTGTAGCACTGCAGAATCCAAGGGCACTATATCTAGGAGGATATCAAATAGAAGAGGGAGACTTACCTAACTTAAAGCCACTTCAAATCCTACACTTCCTTGAGAAAATAGGATTGGAAGGGTCGCTATAGGCATTGAGACATTTCCTTAGTGCAGTGGCGACAGAAGGGGGCACAATAGATCTTTTAGTTCGCAGTGTATTAACACCCCATTATCAACATAACATAACATACTGTTGATTGTTCTCCAAATTTCCCTCTAATATTCTTTTTTTACTGATTAAAAAATAGAAACACCTTGCATCTTTGAAGCAAACTGCGGACCCATGTTGATATTTATTTTATTTTTGGGTAATGAATCACCTCACGAGCGATGTCATCTGTTTTTGAAACACCCTGTATACTTATTTGGGAATAATTTTATTATTAGTCTTATAAAATTTAACAATTATGTTTTATGACTTAATCAATAAATTTTTGTAAATTTCTTAAAGATAATAGACACATCATACATTTAGCATTCATGCTTTATGACTTGTCCAAATCATTTTTGTAGATGTCTTAAGGAAAATAAACACTTTTTAAATGTAACCTAATTTATTTTTATTTAAGAAAGTACCTATTGCAACAATAAATCAATTAATCAAGCATGTCTATTTTATTCATTTGAATTGAACTTGTTCATACTTGAAAATCACAATACCATTTTTTTCGCTTTGGAATGCGATGCACATTGCTGTTGGGATGTAATGGAGTAGTAAAACCACTATTTTTAATGTATACTTTTCAGTTTTACGTAAATTTGTTGTGTAAAAATGTATACAGTTTTAAATAACGTTTTTCAATTTAAGACGCCTAACGACGCCTTTATGCATTGGCGCCATGGGTTCACCACACGACCTTGCCCATATGAATTGCGCATATCTGTGAGAAAGTATACTATGGCTGTATCAAATTAAAATGTATTCTATTCAATAAATTTGGTCATTATGTTTCATCACTATTCACAAAAATGCCAGAAACTGATAAAATAGAGCTATCAGCTCATTTTATTATGATGTCGATGACGCACAAGCAAAAATGTATAAAGGCTCGTACCCTACCTTTTTTTGTAACACCGTGTATATCAAGGTGTCCGTCAAAAAGTAGGCGCTGATCATTACAGGTCAGGGGTGGAGTACTGTTACTTTTTACGATATGCAAACTGGAAACGACCAAAAAACAAGAACTCGTTCTTGTAGTTTTATTTATTTGTAGTTGATATTCAGACGATCGGCAGTCTTGTAAACGGTGGCTGCTAGTCAAAGGGAAAGTGAAAGCCCCACCACTAAAGAGGAAGCTGTTGTAAGAAAATTAAGTCTTCGGCGGACACGCGACCACGAGGAAACTGAACCTGCATCAGTTGCCAATAAGATTTGGTGATATCGGTCGCGCGTTTTGTGCGTTCAACTGTGCTGTAATTTTATTGTTTTTATTAATTGGAGGCTTATTTGGATGTAAGTGTTTGGTGATTTTTATTTATATCTCCCTTTTCTTTTAGAAAAATTTATGTAGGACAAAGGATGTTTAATTTATAAAATTAGGAGCAACTGATTTCTTGTTCCTCTGATTTTGTTTACATATTTATTTCATATTTTCTTTTTTATACAAAAAATCATAGGGTATTAGTCTATATAATCTATATAGTAATTTGAAAACCGTGATCTTTTTTAATATAAAAAAATCTGAAAATGTACTTTCAAAATAGCGCGTAAACTCTATAACAATTTCATAAAAAAATTTTGTGTATAAAAAATATGAAGTAAGTAGTACAATAAAAATAAAAATGAAGAAGGCTAGAGGAAATACTCTAAGGCTGTAGTTACTTTGTATGACTTGTCACACACGATATTATTTCTGGGCTTGGTTAATATGGGGTTAGAGGAACTACGTTGGATTTTTTTTTAATCATATCTAATCAATCGCGTTCGAAGTGTAATTTATAATTGTAGCCTGTCAAATTTAAATCCTGTAAGTACTGAAGTTCCACAAAGATCAATTCTTCTTTTTATCATATCATACATGAATATATGCAAATTTATGAAATATCATCACATTTTTTTGGAATTGAAAAAAAGTTATTGTTTTGCGACAAATAGGTTTAAGTTAAATTAAAATAAATATCAAAATATTAAGGTTTTGTTGTGTGCACCACTACCAGAGCCTAAAACTGTAAAATTCTTATGTTTTACTATTGATAATAAATTAAACTGGAAATTAAAAAAGTTATCTAGCTCCTTAGTCTTATTCGTAAAATAAAAACCATAACTACTTTTTATACTTTGTAAATAGTTTACTTTTCTATGTGTCATTCTCATATATATTATGGAATTCCAAGGTATCTGGAGGATATTTTTTTGAATTAACTTATCCTTTCTGACTATCGATCCCAAGTTCACTAACAATGATATAGTACTGTTTTTTATAATTTCAAATAAACTAAAATACCCAAATTCGTCAATAGTTCTCCGCCTATTTGCAGTTTTTGTCTTAATGAAAATAAATATTTACTAATGCAACACACTTGACCTTATAATTACGAGAAAAATTTGTTACTGGTTGGAATGTTGTTCAGTGAAGAAAAGATGCGAGCGTAAAATACACGTTGTTGAGATGAGATTGCTGCAGTAGAGGACCTAAGTGAAGAAACGGGACAAAATTAAAAATAAACGTATTAGGGACATTTTAGGACTGGTGAATAGACCTAGGTGGTTGCGAAACATTAGAGGAGAGGTACACCCCACTATTAGTAGTGATATGAGTAGAAATGAAATTGATATTGAGTGACTTATAACTGGACAAATTGGATAATAAAAATAAATACTAGTTTCTATAAGGAAGATGCCACACTGTATAACTCGCAATGTTATCACTTCCTATGGGGCCTCAGTATTGCATTCGTGCAGACGAAAAAACCTAGCCACAAAAATACCTTCATCAAATTTACTGGCTCTCTGTCGCAACCCCATAGAATAATTAACCGGGTATTTTATTTGGCAAAAAGCAGAATAATGCTTGGCTGTGCCTGTCAAGTATCAAGATGTCAACTGTAATGTGTAAATGGCTCTTAAATGTCAAATTATTTAAAAATGTATGCTTCTTTTGATATTAATTGCAAATAATTTGTGGTGTATCTCAATTTAGGCTTTCCAAAAATAAAATTTAAAAATGAACCTTCTTACCTTGGGATTTTAATGACATAATGAGATCAACCCATTTCAAATTTTGATCAATTATGATACCGAGGTATTTTGTTGTATTTTTCATTTTATTTATAAAGTTGTCATTTATTTGTATGTTGAAAGAAGGCCTTTGTAAATTACATTGCTCTCTATGGATCTACTTTAACACAAAAATAGTTTTGTGGCTATAAGTTGCTATAACCTATCGTCACAAAACTTTTAATAATTTAAACATAGTAAGTAGTAAAACGAGGTAAAATAACAATAAATTAAGGGAAATACTTAAAAAGGGCAGGTTTAAAGAGTATTATCACAAGAAAGTATATCCAGTCTGTTTATTTATCAAGTATTGTTTAAGGTTACTTTTGAATACATTTATTGCTGTTTTTTTTAACTTCTGTAGGCAGTCTATTACATTTTTTAAACCTTTAATAAAAATTGTATTTTGGGAACTTTTAGTGATGGCTTGCCGTACATGAAAGACAGATTGGCTTCTTGAATTATAGTTGTGATATTGTGAATTATATTGAATTTTTTTCTAATCGATCTGATACGATGAATTTAAGTCATTTTTATTTTATAAATAAATATCACTCATGTACTGAACATAATTCTGAACTGAAAGCCAATTTATTTTTTTTAACATAGTTGCAATACTCATCCTTCTGTCCTTTATTAATAGAATATAAATAGGCGAAGTAAGAAGCCCAAATATTTTACATGAGCAGGCCTAAGAGGTAAAGGGGCCAATTATTATTGGATAAATTGCTCAAACAAGTTTTTAAACCCTAATCAAAAGGCGATATAGAATGGTTTTAAAAATCAAGGTATGTGAAAATCATCACATGGTTTAACCTAAGTAATGCCAATGCTTTACAAAACAAAAAATTCAACGTCCTAATACTATTATCAACTTTCGGTCTTTCGTTCCAAGTTAAATTATTTCTCGTTTTTGTTACGCTACGAGTTTACCCTTGTGGGCATCAGTCTCGATAAGATGGGAACCACCATTTTAGCGTCTCTCGAATTTTATTAGATTTGATTTAGTTACGCTTTGAGGTACCTAAGCAAATATTATCTGATATTTCTATGCCAAAACAATGATTAGTAAATAAAATAACAGTAATCATCTGACTTACTTTATTATCCTTGTTTACTGCATGCGTATCAGACCATTAAAATCTGATGTAAAATTAATCAATACAAAGTTACTATTGAAATTGATTTGTTTGATTTGACCTGGAAATCAGTGAACCTCTCATTTTCTCTTTTAGTCAAAAATTTCAAATTTTACTGCACGTTTGAGTTTTTGTCGACGAATTTCAGTTGCAAATTTATTTTGGCAATAATGTGTTTTGCTTTATAAAATTGATGGAACATTTAAAATGATGAAAGACCTCTTTGTAAATCTAAAAGAACTTAAGTTTTTTATAAAGATGTTGCCTCTTGACTAATAAAAGTTCTAGTTGTTGAAAATTAAGAGAAAAATTTTTTTTATTTAATAAAATGAATAAAAATAATTTCTTAAAACAAAACAAACCAGATTTTTTGTAATATCTTCAATTTGTTCTTAACATTAGCAATTATTGTAAGAATAGAAGAATTTATTTTTACTTTTCTGTCTGTATATAGATAAGGAAAGCATAGAAATCGTGCTTTTTTTGACCTCGAGTTTTCAGCGGATTTTTACGATTTAAAGTCCCTTGAATCCGTTTTACCTATTTTCGCGATGATGTCTGTGTGTATGTGTCTGTGTGCATTTATACAAAGAGGTTAGAAAGGGTAGAGGTAAGACAGGAAGCATTTGTCGCTGCACGAATTTTGCCAAAACCGAAATTTTCGGTGGAATGAGTAAGATTTTCTGAACCGGACTTATATTTCTATTGTAGTACCTAATTTTGGTAACTTTTAAAAAATGAAAAATTATGGCAAATTTTTTGACCTCACTTGTTAGCACGATTCATTTATGATGAGAGCAATAACACTTTATCAGTAGCTAGTAGCTAAGTAAAACTTTATAAAATTGTAACAAAAATAACTTATTGTATCTTACCTAACAAAATGTTGCATTATAATAGAATTAAAATTAATGTTATTAATACACATTATTTTTATTATCAACTTATTAGGCAAAATGTTAATAATTACGTTAATTAAAATTACAGTACAGTTTAACATTAGTCTTAAGGCTCCACTTTACGTTGGCCAGTGCGCTGGCAAATATTATTGGCAATATTCATGACCAGTACATAGGTAACTTATGTTTCTTACTATGAAAATATGTTTATATACAGGGTGATTCATTTCTAAGTAGAAAAGCAAACACACATTTTTATAATTAATTTTGTAACACATTGTAACTTCCTAATTACTCTCTTTAGACCCCAAATGTAATAGTTGGTTGAATTCAGCTCATCAAAGGCATTAAAAAAGGTAAACAAGTTTTAAAAATGTATGATTCACCATGTAGAGGTACGAATCCCTCTGTCTAGATCAACATACTCTCAAATTAAGCAGTATACTTACAGTGTCGGCAGAGCTTGGCAGAATTTGAATTCTGAATTACTTGAGTAAATTTACCTCAAAATTGTACTTAAGTATTCAAAGTACTTACTCAGTTATTGGTATTAGTGAGTACTTTCATCCAAATAAAACTCAGTACACAAAATATTTCCAATACTTTACATTTTAGAGTACACAGTACTTCTGAATCCTATTACTGACGAGTATCGAGTACGAATACTCACGCGCGCATATGCAGAATGTCTCCCCGGATGGACTAAAAAAGATGAGAAAAAACTTTTCTATTTTCACCTTTTTGAAAAAACCTATATCCAACTTGCACTTGTAACATCTACCAATAACCTAGTCCGGTTCTGTTTATTTTCAAATAAAAAAATATGGCAGTCGGTAGAATCTCTAAAAATTAAATAACTAACTAAAATAATAATAATAATAATAATAAAAATAATACTCTCCCTATATAAATTTAAGTTTCCTTTATCGGCGTCACACTTCGCACTTTTATTAAAAATACGGCTTTTTACAACACCTTCGTATTTTCAACGTTATTTTTCAAAATAATTACCATTGACACAATAGATTTAAATTAAATTTGAACGAACAACACTCCAACATGTGACGTACCACAGCCACCCAAAAACCATGGTTTTAGGAGGCTATGGACGTACTCAACTGTGATGGGTTGGTGTGAATAGTTTCGAAGAGGGATCATGCGCAGTGTTTTATGTTCTATCTATGTTTTTTATAATCTT